CCAAAAAGACCGTTACTTGAGGGCTTTCTTTGGCAAAAAAACATTCGACTGATGAGTGTTTTTCGAACCACTTATTTGATTGTGAAGACAACTTTTCTCATAATTATTTAATGAATTTAAAGTTCATTAAAGTATAAACTTTTCGCTTCGCTTTCTCAAGTACCCACTGAAAAAAAATTTACGAATTCCTGCGTTGACACGCAGGAATCTGAAAAAATCCTATGAATATTGGATATATACTGCAAGTTTTTACATCACGTTACCTAGCCGAAAATTTTCCTGCAAGTTGGTGAGTATGCAGGAACTTTTACATGCGTTCATGCGATATATCTTGCAGATGCTTCACTTGGAATAGCCTGCGGAATTTTTTCCTTCCTGTTATCACTTGTAATACACAAGATATCTCAATACGCAAACCTTGCAAGGTCTGTAGGATTTTTTCATGATGATAAAAACTTGTAGGTTGTGGATTTTGTCCGCCATGTCTATCTTGCGGCATTCTGCAATCTTTTCTCATCAATGTCTGCGCAGGGTGAACTTGTCTGTATTTTTTATTTTTGGCAAGTTAAGTACTTCTGCATCTTTTCGATAGATTCTGCATTTTTTTGATAGATGGCTTTATAAGTTACATTTATTTTATTTACGAGTTACAATGAAACAGGTAATTTTAAAGTATTAACACATTTGCCACATTTAATTGCAAGTTCAGTTCCAGACAAAGTACCATTTTCATATCGTGTAAAATACTCCTTCAATTTATTATCACAATTGTTGTAAACTTTCACACAGTAGCGTGATCATTCTAATGACTTTAATGTCTTATTGATGGAAAAAAATAGAATATTCCTGACATAAATTACGTTATCTTAATGACTTATATTAATATTAATTACTACACTGTTGACAGAAAAAAATGAAGAGAATGCTAGAAAATAAACGGGACGAAACGAGAAGATACCATTCAAAGCTGAAGAAATTTAGAATAGTGTGATATCTCTGCTTTACTATACATTTTTTTTTCACAGTAGCGTGGTCATTCTAATGACTTTAATGTGTTCTTGATGGAAAAAAATAGAATATTCCTGACATAAAAAAGATCTTTTCAGCTATCTAATAATAGTTTTGTTTTATACACATGAAAATGCGTGTTAAAGTCAAAATATTAAGGTATACGTTTTCTAGAAGTTTATCGAACACGAGAAAATTTTTCATAACTTTATAAGAAAAAAGTACTTAACTTTCCAAGAAAAATAAAATACAGACAACTTCCTCCACGGTCATCCTGACAGATATTGGTGAGAAAAGATTGCTGGATACCGCAGGATAGACATGGAGAACAAAATCCTTTTTTTTTCAACCAAAAACAAAATTCTGCCAGATCTCGTAGGAAAACACTTGTGGATAGAATAAGTCAAAAAGTCTTCCGATGTTTCTTAACTTTACGCAGGATTTTTTCCACGTTAATCCTACAAAAACTATGCAGGATTCTGCCATGGCCGGCAGAATAAAAATCCCGCGTAAAGGTAAGAAACATCGCTAGATATTTTAATACCGATAACCCGCGGGATCCTGCATGGATTTTTGATTATTTTTTTCAGTGGGTAAGAGAGAAAAGAAGGAAATTTATCGAAAGTGAGTTTTTGAAAGTAATGCATCTCTGAGAAGAAGTGAACCATCTCAGAACTGACTGATTTGACACATGCTGTACAACTCTCAGAAGGCAGTATATTCTGACAATATTTAGACTCTATTCCTCTTCCTTCTCCAGTCATACCTATTTCAATCGCCTTAGAGCTTAATCGTAACAGTCTCGTTAAGAGTAATTTTACTGGTAGTATGTGAAGACAAAAATTACATTTATTGGGAATTTTACACACACACAGTTATGGGTTAGACTTACTTCTGAACATTCTTGAAATTTATCTCGTCCTATTCACGAGCTATATGTTCACTTCTATTTTTTTGTAGGGCCGTAATACTCGGTATTATTTGTATAAAAAATTTTTAATCCACACAGTCTCATTTGCCAGAGGGAAAAATGTCACGGACTTAAAGTAAACGTAAGTCCATAACGCTTAGACAGGCCGAATAGTAACTGCAATTTGGCGAATAGTTCTTGTAATAACACGAAAACGTTAGGCACAAGTAATGATGACAACTAATTCAAATGTTATTCCTAAGCAGCAACCGAACGGCGGAAGTAATCACCCTTATTCTTCCATGCAAAAGAGAAAATAAGATATATATATTCATCCAGATTACTAAGAAAACTCGAACAATTTAAGAAAATAAAAACTCTTTCTTTGAGCCAATAAAGGTAGTTTCAGACGAACTCGACCATCAAAACACCCCAAATTAGTCCCTATCGTTTTAGCTTCTGTTGGTAACAAGAACTTCTTTTGAAGAACGCAGTTTTGAGAAAAGGAGTGGTTCGTAGAATACGATGACGAGTTTTGTAAATAGAATCAAATATAAGAAGTCAATTCTCTCATTCAACGTAGCGTGAGGAATGTCGGGATAAAACGAAATGATATATCACTACAACTTGACAAAGTCGGTCACGAAGAGACTTGTCAAATTTAAAGAAAGTTCAAAGTTCGTACATCCCAGCGTACATCTGGTTTACAGACAGTTTAGATGTTTTCTCATAAAGATTTTGTCATTTAATTTCAGAAAATAACTTTCCTTTTGCTGTACAGTCGCTGGAAAATTTGATAATACGATGATGAAAACATTTTCTCGTTTTCGTTTTCGCGGAAAGTAAAAACAGTTTGATGAAGCTATTAGTCAGTGTTATATGTCAGATTCTTTCATGGGTAAACAGATTTTTATTCAAACTCCTTCATGCCTATCGAGAGACATTGTTAAACTAACTTTTTCAAAAGACAAAATTGATGGTAATTTAGGAAATAAAAGACAGATTTTCTTCCAGAAGTTGAATTTTGAAAGCAGTATTTTCGGAAGAAAAAATCGTGTTGTGTAAACTTTCACTTTTTGGTCAAAATGCCTCACGAGGATCCAGGTAAACCTTTTGACCCAAAAAACATTATGTCAATGTTTGACAGCTACATAATTCGATGCAGTTTCTCACTCTCACTCCGAATATTTTTTCAAAAAAAAGCATCTTAACGGCTTCTTTTTCAGAAATAAAGTTGCATTTCCAGTGCTTTTACTTCTTTCTAAAGTACAGAAATACCTCATTTCCTCTCTTTTAACAAGGACACGTGTGATTTAGAAAATTTTGTTTTTTCCGAAAAGATATTTGTATTTAGAAAAACATTTTTCGAAATAAAGTGGCACCCTCAAGGTGAATAACTCAGATGCGTATGCAAGTTCGCCGTTCGTTTATTAATAGGTAACGCGGTGAACACGTTTATATCAAAAGGCAAAATATATATTCACTCCAGTGATGACAATGAGACATGCAATTTTTCATGTTTCTGTTCTCATTTCTATTAGAAGAGCTAATGTTGGTTATTTCTTTGCTTACATCAAGCAACGATTTAAACCCTTCGTTTCTATGTTACCGGTACTTTTAGTGTAGATTTACTATCGTTATGTGTACTCGCGAAAATAGATGATTGGTTTTTTGTGAAAAACATGATTGTTAATGAGTATTGAAGTAAATGACGAGAAAGTTAGACTAGTCTTCTCTCATATCTCACATACAATAGCAGATTCGGTGAACGATACACATTCATCATTTAAGTAACTCTATCGGGTTTTACATTTGAATCTAGTCGAGATTACGGTGAAAAAGTGTTTAATTATATTTAATAGTTTCTAATGAGCGTTTTGAATCAAAGTACTACCCATACAGATGTATAATCCTTCTAGAATATACCCAAAGCTTCACCAAAAAAACGTTGTCTTCTTTAGATAATTTATCCGCAAGAAAAAACTAGATTTTTCTGAGTACGCTTTAAAATGAAATCTCCAACCATCCTCCTCGAAAAGAAAGGATCGTTTTGTACTAAGACTTGTAGGATATCCTGAAAAGTTACAAGACCCACATATTAGTACAATTCCAGCAAGACATTTCATCATTCGATTTTCTGTTGAAATCATTACTCTCTGTTGACCCGTTAGGACGGCCGCTTCTTTTTGGTCTCTATAAAATTCAAGCTCATATATTCCACTAGAACAGAGACGTAACCAGCAGCCGGCCGACCGGGAAAAAAACGTTTTTTCGTCTGGAAAATCAGTACTTTGTCGAACTCGACGAGTAACTAGTAACGAAATGAGTTACTCGTTGCTAGTAAAAAAGTAACTAAGTTCGTTAGTAGTAACGAAGTAACTGACTAGTGAGGTTACCGAGTAACTAGAAAAGTGCCACCCATAAGTCCAATGGTGACGAATAGACCGGTCTTTTGTGCGAAGAGTATTGCAAGGTACAACACTCTTCGAGCCCAGGTACCGTCACCGCCGGGTTTTTCATCAAAAAACTAGCGTACTTCCCCCACCACCCACATTACCGATCTAACTGTTCTACAATAATTAATTTTCAATGAATGTGTATCGGACGTTGGACAGTTCACGGTGAAAGTTTGAGCTAGAAATATTTCTGAGAAGAGTTATCTTAGCATTAAGCGTTCGTGTGAAAAACAAGGTGTCCGTGTGTCCCAGATTTCTTCTGCAGTTCTAATAATACAGACTTTAGGGTGGTATCAAAAACGGTTTCGACTAGCCAGATGAAAATATATGACCGGTCCGCCCGGTCGAGAAAATCCTGACCGGTTACATCTATGCACTAGAACACTCTAGATGGTGTTGTTCTTGGAAATAATACTTGTGTATGAAAACTTCTTAGGTTCGGTATATTGAAAATGACTCTTATTTTTGATAGTCAGAGAGATTTGAACAAAACGAAGTGCGATAGTATCATACCGAGTTTCAATATCTGTCTTAGAAAGTACCACATCATCGTGTCTAATTTAGTATATTGTTTTTTCACACATTTAGCTTAACCATTCTATCTGCATTAAGGTCAAGTAACGAAGATGCAATTGCGGAATCTTTGGTGGACGTTTTTACTCTTCATATTCGGACAACTTGATGTACATTATGTCAGGACAACTTGGCCCTCATCAAACTCTTCTAGTATTATACAACTATTGGGCCTTTTTCAAGATAAAGTGAATGATTCTGAGCCTACCGAATTGTCTGTTCAGTCTCGCGCTATGTTCAAAGCAGCAGTCTTGCTTTCTCAACAATATAATATAACAATTGAAGGACAATTCATAGAACGGCAAGTAGCACAAACCGGTGGCAATGCAATAGATGCTGTTAGTAGTACGTGTCAGGTAATATCTGCTTCTAACATTGTTGGTATTGTGGGTCCAGGATTATCAAGAGAAACGCCCATTATTGCTGATTTTGCAGAAAGAGTTGGTATTCCTGTTATATCATATAGTGCAACTGATCCTGATTTTTCTGATCGAAATGCCTATCCTGCTTTTTATCGCACAGTTCCTTCAGATAATGCAGCGGCATCAGCAATTGTAAAACTATTTATTCGATTTAACTGGACTTCATGCATAATTATTTATCAAAATGATGCATTTGGATCTGATGGTGCAAGAGTAATAAATGAGGCATTTATTAACAATCGTTTGATAGTCACAGATATGGTAGTATTTGATATTGCAACACTTAGTATTCGAGATGATTTGAAAAACTCGTTAAGCAGTAGTTCAACACGAATTGTACTATTATGGGCTGAGTCAACTTATACATCTTTAATTTTACAAAATGCACTTGATTCTGATGTACTTGGTCCACATTTCACGTGGATATTAAGTTCAAATGTTCCGTTAAACTCTTTTAATCAAACATTTTATCAAAAGTTAATTGGAATGCTCACTGTTGAACCTACAACAGCAAGTGTAGTTGGTGCACCAATCAATACAACATTATTAAATGCAGCATATAATATCTGGCAACAGTATGAGCCTGAAACATTTCCTGGATCGACAAAGGTAAATTATTATGCACTATTTGCATTTGATGCAACTTGGTTATTGATTCAATCCTTACAACAACTTTGTTCAACAACTACTAATAGTTCTTCGTCATGTATATTATTTGACGGCTCTTCATTCTGTTTTGATCTTCGTTTTCTCAATTTCAATTTATTTTTTGATATAATTACTAATATGACATTTCTTGGTGTATCTGGTCCTATACAATTTAATGTTAATGTAACAGATCGAATAAAGGGTAGTTATTATTTTGCACAAAACTCTCAATCTTCTTCAGATGGAGTAAATTTCGTGCCAGTATTGGCCTATTCTGATCATGATAACTGGCAACAGTATGCAGGAGCAAATGCGATTATCTGGCCAGGTAGTTCATTAGTACCTCCTACTGGTAGTGCAAAACTTGATGGTGTAAGTTTACGAATTGGTGTAATTCAATCAGTTCCATTCACAGTAATTACCAGTGTAACAGATGAATTTGGACAGAATACAGTAAAGTTAACTGGTTATATACCGGATCTTATTAATCTTTTACAAAATAGAATAGGATTTATTCCAAATATTTTAATAGCACCATCAAATCAAACCTATGATGCATTAGTCAAAGCAGTAGCAGATGGCGTTTATGATGTAGTGATAGGTGATGTGACAATTACTGCGAAAAGAAGACTAATCGTTGATTTTTCAAGTTCAATATTTGATAATTCTTTACGTATAATTATTCGAAAACCTTCCGGTGTTAGTGTCGATCTCTTAGCGTTCTTGAAACCATTCTCACCTAATCTCTGGTTATTGATCCTAGGTGCTACTGTATATGCTGGTATCTTAATCTGCCTATTAGAGAGAGGAGAAAATGAAGCATTACAAAATAAATCAATAATTTCTGTATGTGCAATGAGTGTGTGGTATTCTTTTGGCAATCTTGTGGGATACGGTGCGGATTTTGATGCTCGCACAGCTGCTGGACGGTTATTAACTGTTGGTTTATATATGTTAAGTATAGTATTAGTGGCATCGTATACTGCAAACTTAGCATCTGATCTAACACTATCAAAATCGCAGAGTGTTATTTCTGGAATTGATGATATTAAACGTGGAAAAATACCATTTAATCGTATTGGTATTCGTGTGGGTACAGCCATGGAAGATTATTATTTAGCAGAAATCTCTAACAATATTCCAAATTATTTTGCAATACTCGGTGCAAATACTCAACAACAAGTATCTGATGATTTATTAGATGGTATAATCGATGCATCTTTTATGGATATTGGTGCTGCAGAATATATAACTAATAATATATATTGCAATTTAACTTTGGTTGGTGATGATTTTGATGAAGGTGCATTTGGTATTGTTACACCTAAACAATGGGTATATGCACAAGATTTAGATGTTAATATATTATCCTTGAGAGAATCAGATGACCTTAACAATTTGAAAGTAAAATGGTTTCAAACACAGAATTGTCCTGATTCATCTGAAACATCCTCTGCGATGGGAATTGAATCACTGGTTGGATTATTTTTTATCTTTGCAGTGATTAGTGTTCTATCATTATTATTATTTGCGTGGAAGAAACGACATGTTATAAAAAATTATCTATTTACAATCCTACTAAAAATTCGTCAGCCAAAAAGAAGGATTCTATGAGAAGACATTCAAGGAAAACTTCTAAACAATCACCAAACGCCCAATTACCGTCATCCGGTTTCTTGTATTTTTAAGTGAAAACTATCTTTATCTCAAGGCTTTTAATACAACTTTTAATACACGATGAACCAATATGAATTCGAAATAGTGACATGTACAGACTCTACCCTAGTGAAAAACTTACTCAAATCTTACTAAGATCTTAGAAAAATCTTGTTAAGATCTTAGTAAGATTTCGCTTACATTTGTCTAAGATCTTAAAAAAATCTTACTAAGATCATGAGACCCGAAAA